CATCATAATGCACTCCAGTCACAGTATAGTTTGGTGGAGATGGCTTATTCTCTACTCACTGAGGGGAACACGGAAAGTTAATTGAGAACAGCACAGAAATGTTCTACCAGCTGCCTCCCTTTCCTAACCAGAAGCAGCAGAGAAGGTTAAACAACTTGTTTATGGTTGAAAGATTTCTTCCCATTCACATTGCACATGCAGTTACAAATCCCACAGAAGCATTGATTGACTTTTTTTTTTTTTTGAGTAATTTCGAATCCTAGGAAAGTTCAAACTGGAATGAAAGACAAAAAACTATTACACTGAAGACAGGAATTTCAGAGGTATGGTGGTTCATGGAGCTGCTTTCAAAATGTTCAAATCCCTAATTTAAACAACAGTAACAACTAAGATTAGGGGCTGCCTGCTAGTACAAGTTGCCACCATGCCAAATCCATGGAAACTGGATATGAGTCTGTGGTGAATTTAATCTGTGCCACACATAGGAACAACTAAAGTCAGATTATATTAGCAATCTGTCCAAGCCACACTGGGATGTGAGCATCTACTACTTCCTGATTGTAACAACTGTTTGGGATTTCCCAGATAAAGAAATATGTCATTATAGTCTTGTGGTATAGACAGAGATTTAAGATGGCATGACTAAACCAAAGCAATTTTTGGACTTACAGTCCAGTAGATTGAAAGCACCTCTGGGAAGCCTTCCCCAATGGCCATAGTTGGTAATCCTCATTACTGACAGCAACTGTTCACTTCTCTGAAATTCTGGATTTCCCTTGGTCCCCTAGAGACACAATGTTAGGCAAAAATCAAGCAAGAACCTTATACCAATGGGATATAATAAAGGAAGGTGAAAGAAAATAAAATGAAGGTAAGATGTTAAGCAAATAAAATCCAATCAATTACTTTCATTGCAATTGTAATTAAAGCTACAAAGTAGAAGTACCCCGATACTGGAAAAGCAAGCCTTATATATTCTTTACCACTCATTCAACATTCAGCATTCAGTGCTGATTGGTTTCTATGGACAGGATATTTCCCTAATTCTGAACAGGTCTCCCTAACCTTTCTGGATAGACTATAATCTTATGATAGGCAGGAATGTGGCCTGAGATGATATTATATAGCAGAGAACTTTATCAATAGCCATTCAGAAATGCATGATGCTGTATTTTTGATTAACTGAATTATATTATGAAACACATTTATGAAGCCAAGTAGAGGGGGAAATAATGTCAGGCACACAGTAGCTGCTGCCTAGATTGGGTATGTTTGTTGAAGAAGGGAAATTTCAACATCTCTCTATAACCTTCTCAGCTACTCTCTGAAAAGTGTGGGAAAGGAAAATGAAAAGACCAGACTTTCAAATCCTTTACCTTCTATACCTTTAAAGAGTGGGACTCATAATTGAAAGCCCATTGTTTAGCAAAGATTATTCAAGAGCCTTCAGATACAATGGTAGCAATGGAACGAAGTAGGTGGTGGAAAGTTAATTTTTTCTGCAAAATTAAGTGAGGAGAATTGAGCTTGGATGAAGACATGTTGAAGAAGAAGAGAAAAGGACTAAGCACTCACAATTCTTTGTGCTAAATATTGTAGGTAAATGAACTTTGCAGGAAAATAGAATATGTCTACTCTCTAGAGAGTTTTCATAAGACAAAAGCACTCCAGTGGTAAGGTGATTTTGTTCACTTCTTATTTCAGTAGGAGAAGGTTCTAAAACAATGCAGAATCTATCCTACCTATTGTCATGCATTAGGTCCTCCCATGCAGCTCCACAATTAGCCCCACTGGAGCTTTCCACTTGTTCTGCATCCCCACTATCCTTACTCTCTCAACTAAAATTGTCCTCTGTGGTTACCATTCCTGCAGGTTCCTAATTTCTACAGGTTTATCTCATGAACTGAATATTGCTAGGGTAGCAGGCACTGCTATGCTTTCCAGATAACCTATTTTCATCTTAATTGTAGCATGAAATAGCTTATCTTAGAGGAATGACTAAAATATGATGGACCCTGGAAGTGAGGTATTTGACTAAGAAGACCTCTTACACCTGCTCAAGTCATATCACAAAGGCTAACACCAACATTCTCCAACCACAAAGCAAGGTAGCTCTGACTACTTCATTTACCAACTGCACCAACTTGCCCAGGTTCATGCCAGGCATATTGGTAAAGCCCCAAAGTATCTTAAATCCCCAAACAGTCTTCCAGCTGCTGAAAATAATGCTTCCCTTCTCCCATAGCATAAAGAAGATTCAAGCTCAGGAATTGCTGTCAGTGAATATTCAAGCTGCATGCAAATCAGCCACATTTATTCTGCACTTTGCTCCTTCATCAAAAAACATGACAACAACCACAAGAATTTTCCATAATTTTGCCTACAAAGCTCTCCAGAAATAGAGTGTCTATTAAGTTGGCTTTCAGAATGTAATATTAGAAAGATCAAGTCTTTTTAAAACCACAAAGAGAATAAAGTTGCATAGTTTGGTATTGTCAGGGCAGAACTCCAGACTTCTGCAGGGTTCAGCTCTGTAGTAATAGTTGTTCTCCAACTTGGCTCAGAACTACAAGACCTTTGCTGCACATATAATGTTTATCGTTTTTCTCCCCCACTGTTATTCATGATTGAAACTGCTCTAGAAGGCAGGTGTGGGAAATGAAGGATTATTGAAATGTAAGGTGATGATAACCATTAGATTTCAAGCTAAATTTTCTAACCAGGATTTAAATCATTTAAACTTCATATAATTTCAGAGAC